TGGCTAGCCGGCTCTCTCTCTCTGTCTCTTTTTCAGAGGGGGCGGGGAAGCGCCGGCTCTTCGCGGAACCCCTCGTTTTGCTCCGCAGAACCCCAGGGTTCCGCGGAGCACCAATTGGGAAACACTGCTCTAGGCGGTAAGGGAGGCAGCGGCAGAAGCAGAGTAACGGCTATTCAGGGGGGGTCCCTTTAAGCACACATCTCATGCTGCCCCCATGCCCTGGCAGAATCGGTTCCGGGTGCCTTCTTTTGTCAACAGAGCATCCGGCAGTCTGGATGCTCTTTTTCGAAAAAGCAGATCGATTTTTTGATCCATATAATGCAGTCTTGATGCTCTTTTTCGACAGGCATTTTTGAAAGATACTTTCGAAAAAGCCTCTGTTGAAAAAAGCCTGTAGTCTAGACGTACCCTAAGAGACCATTCAGATAGAAGTGGGCAACTAACACTTCTGCAGCTGTAGAACAAAAGACAGTAAGTGTGTTATAAATGGAATCATCTTCTATAACTCATTGCAACATTTTATTTTTTCTTATGCTGCTGTTGAAAACTTAAATCTGGTCTACACTACAAGTTAGGTGTAGCTTATCTAGGTGTGCATATCTTACACTTCTGCCAATATAAGAACCCTCTTCTGCTGATCTAATAATAACATGTTCCTGAGTGATATAGAGCCAAGGTTGACATACTTAAGATGATGCAGCGTGAGTGCAGATACTGCATTTCTTAAGTAAACTATTATTGATCTCCAGCACTGATCACTCTGGTCACTACTGTGAACTCTCCTGCCAAAGATCACAGAGACTGGAAGCCCCGTCCCCCTTTAAATCCCTGTTAATTTTTAAAATTCCTTTCCTGGCTTGGCAAGCACACATAACGGCTCTCCACTGTTATAGTGGCAACTGCTGACTAGAGACATGGGAGGAGGCACCAGTCACATTATTGATCGCTTCCACACAAGACTCCTTCCCATGACACATCAAAGCCTCTCTGACCCAGCTCCAATCAGGGAGGCCCAATCTTGTGTGGATAACAATGGAGCAGCCCTTCAAATTGACTAAAGACATGTTCAACTGTCTTTCTGCATCTGCCGAGCCAATAGCTGAAGTATTCCTTGCTGTTGTCAAGGTGGCCATGTATGGTTTGTGCAGTAGGAGGGTACGGGATAGGCTGGGTAATCCAGGATCACTATTGGCATTTCAAAGTTGACAATGGCACTCCATCGGTTGGGAAAGCAAGTTCTTGCATGCAGCTTTCAGAAGAGTCTTATACTCTTAAGGATACATGCATAACACACTTTCACTGAGGTTGATAGTGGTAGAGATGTAGCCATGTTAGTCTGGGGTAGCTGAAGCAAAATGCAGGACAATGTAGCACTTTAAAGACTAACAAGATGGTTTATTAGATGATGAGCTTTCGTGGGCCAGACTGAGGAAGTGGGTCTGGCCCACGAAAGCTCATCATCTAATAAACCATCTTGTTAGTCTTTAAAGTGCTACATTGTCCTGCATTTTACTGCGGTTGATGTTAGTGAAGCATTATCAGTGTGGTGAACGACCAGCCAGAACCCCATAGACCTTCTTTTCACCATAGGCCTTGCTCCTGGGAAGGGGGATCAGCCCCAGCCTTCTCCTGGCTGGCTGGAGCATGTTAACTTGGGGGACCATGTAGGTACTGAGTACATACACTTCACACATTCCCTGATTACAGGCCTGAGATATGTATTTCATGGTAGTGTAAATGGCTCCCCACCTGTTGGATTTACAATGCAGGCAATGCCTAATCTGTAAAATAGGAACAATGATACAGGTTGAGCCTCTCTAGCCCAGTACCCTGGGGACCTGAGTGATGCCAAACCAGAGAAATGGCCAGATCACAGGAGGTCAATGTTGTCTAGCAGCATTACCAACACTTAGAAAATGCTTTGGCAGCACCAGCCAGTCAAGATTCAAGTATTTATTAATATTTGTATTGTTCATTTCTGGCTCTTAGGTCGGTTATAGCCTTGAACTTGCACAGGCGCTATGGGCCAGCGCCCCTGCCACCAGCCTCTCCTATATCCCCAATGGGATAGTGTCCCCTGCAACCAACCCTCCCAGTGTCCCCAGTGGCACAGCCCCCTCCAGACAGCGCCCCTTCTGTTCTCCACAGGGCGGCAGCCGCCCAGCTGCTCCCTCCCCTCACGGCCCCTCAAGCGGCGGCTCCCTACCATGTAGCGCATGTTGGTGGCCGTGGGCTGGACAGCGGAGCGATACTTGTTGTGCTCCCGCACGCAAGCCTCTATGAAAGTCTTGTTGGTGATGGTCGGCAGGGCCGGCCGGACCTTCTTGCGCTGTGGGCGGCACATGCCGGTCAGCACGCCCAGCCCCAGCAGGGCCAGCAGCCAGAGCCGCATGGCGCCGCCCCAGGTCGCAGGGTGCTTTTGTCCCGTGCGCGGAGCGGCGCCTGGCGCGAGCTCAAACGGCTTCCAACGGTCACAGGGAGAATCTCCTGAGGCGAGCCCGATCCCCGTCGGCCTGTGACCTTCTTGCGCTGTGGGCGGCACATGCCGGTCAGCACGCCCAGCCCCAGCAGGGCCAGCAGCCAGAGCCGCATGGCGCCGCCCCAGGTCGCAGGGTGCTTTTGTCCCGTGCGCGGAGCGGCGCCTGGCGCGAGCTCAAACGGCTTCCAACGGTCACAGGGAGAATCTCCTGAGGCGAGCCCGATCCCCGTCGGCCTGTGCCTGTTCCCCGTAGCTGTGCACACGCACACACACCGCTGACTGTGCCCCTCCCCGTACCTGTGCTCACACACACAGCGCTGGCTGTGCCCGCTCCCCGACCTGCGCCCACACACACAGCGCGGACTGTGCCCCTCCCCGTACCTGTGCTCACACACACAGCGCTGGCTGTGCCCGCTCCCCGACCTGCGCCCACACACACAGCGCGGACTGTGCCCCTCCCCGTACCTGTGCTCACACACACAGCGCTGGCTGTGCCCGCTCCCCGACCTGCGCCCACACACACAGCGCGGACTGTGCCCCTCCCCGTACCTGTGCTCACACACACAGCGCTGGCTGTGCCCGCTCCCCGACCTGCGCCCACACACACAGCGCGGACTGTGCCCCTCCCCGTACCTGTGCTCACACACACAGCGCTGGCTGTGCCCGCTCCCCGACCTGCGCCCACACACACAGCGCGGACTGTGCCCCTCCCCGTACCTGTGCTCACACACACAGCGCTGGCTGTGCCCGCTCCCCGACCTGCGCCCACACACACAGCGCGGACTGTGCCCCTCCCCGTACCTGTGCTCACACACACAGCGCTGGCTGTGCCCGCTCCCCGACCTGCGCCCACACACACAGCGCGGACTGTGCCCCTCCCCGTACCTGTGCTCACACACACAGCGCTGGCTGTGCCCGCTCCCCGACCTGCGCCCACACACACAGCGCGGACTGTGCCCCTCCCCGTACCTGTGCTCACACACACAGCGCTGGCTGTGCCCGCTCCCCGACCTGCGCCCACACACACAGCGCGGACTGTGCCCCTCCCCGTACCTGTGCTCACACACACAGCGCTGGCTGTGCCCGCTCCCCGACCTGCGCCCACACACACAGCGCGGACTGTGCCCCTCCCCGTACCTGTGCTCACACACACAGCGCTGGCTGTGCCCGCTCCCCGACCTGCGCCCACACACACAGCGCGGACTGTGCCCCTCCCCGTACCTGTGCTCACACACACAGCGCTGGCTGTGCCCGCTCCCCGACCTGCGCCCACACACACAGCGCGGACTGTGCCCCTCCCCGTACCTGTGCTCACACACACAGCGCTGGCTGTGCCCGCTCCCCGACCTGCGCCCACACACACAGCGCGGACTGTGCCCCTCCCCGTACCTGTGCCCACACACACACACCGCTCGCTCCCCGCACCTGTGCACACCCACACAGCGCTGACTGCGGCCCTTCACAATATTCATTTCCAGAAAGTAGATCCCCCGCTGCACTGGCAGTCTCACAAATCGTTTCCGCTTCTTCTCCACTGTAGAGGCTCTACTCCTCCCCAGCAACATTTTCTATATCCTCTTCAACAAAAGTCATCTAGGAGCATTAATGTAACCCCCCTTCTGTCCCATCGGCATCTAGCTATAGCTCTCCGGCACCTAATTTCCTGGGACTCCTCTACTCCTCTCCCTGAGCAACCCCCTTCCCCCCAAAAAACCTTCTGTAAATGCGGGTTTTCATCTTCCCCTATCTCAATCTAAAAGTCTCATGGGGAAAAGGCATTTGACACTACTAAATCGTGGGAATATTGTGAATGTGGCATATTTATAATGCTTTACTTTATATTTGTCGTTACATAGCGTGTTTATTATCATTGTACTAAAAGGATTGCGGTATTTCTGTGTGACCTGCATTGTAACCTGTCTGTGGCATTAAGCGGTCCCGTAAGGGTGTAGCAGCGATGGATTGGACTGTGCTTGCACTACGTCATGTTCCTGTGTTGTAGTTGTGTCGTGACTGTAGGGCACTAACTGGCTCTCACGGATGGTTTGGGGCTGTCTGGTTTGCAGTGGGAGCTGGGACCCCACGTCTCCATTATCCCATGACAGGGCGTGCGGAGTGTGAGGGTTAGTCTACGACTGCGCCGCTGTCTGCAGCTGGACGGATCCCGCCGCTAGCCGAGGAGAGGCTGGAGCCCGCACGGGGGCGATACCGAGAAGGGAGGAGGAGCCGCAGCACGACTGGGGCCGCCTCTCATCCCGGGCTGCTCCTCGGCAGGTCAGACCTTCCTCTCGCTGGGGCAGGACAGGGCGCGAGCTGCTGGGAGCGGGGCGCGAGGAAAGCCGGGCCGGGCCCCAGCCATGGCGGTCTCTGCGTTCCAGCAGGGCATGGTCTCAGTCGTGCTGCTGCTCTGCCTCCTCGTGGCGGTGCCCAGGCTGTTCGGGGGAGGAGGAGCAGGGAGGACCTTGCAGGGGGGCAAGGCTGCCCCCGGTCACTACGATCCCTCTCCGCATCCCACAGGTACAGACCGTCCCTGCACCCCTTCCCGCCGAGCGCTGCGACTTGCCCCCGGAGGAGCCGCCGTGCTATCCTCTCTTCTGTCCCGGCAGCAGGAGAGACGGGCGATGCAACCTGTTACGCGTCTGCTCCTCGCACTTGTCCACGCACCAGCACCCTGTTTCCCCACCACCAGCCCTCTGCACTGACCCCCTAGTTGCAGGAGGGGTGATGTGAGGAAGAGTAATAGGCTGTGAGTTCGCTTTTATGCTGCTACTCCTCCCTTGCGTGGGGATAAGCATGTGGGCAGGGATGTGAAAGGTTAATTAACTCCTAACGGGTGATGTTTACTGGTTCTGGTTAACCCGTGGGTGCTGGCGCAGCTCCCAGCCTGTTGTGGGTAGGTGTCTGCGCCAGCCCTGCCCTGGAGAGGGGCTGGGGAGTCTAGAGCAGTGTTTCTCAACGGTTTTTTTTGTTTTTTTGTTTTTTATAAAGTGACCTTTAAAAAATTATAAGTACCCCCTAGTACCTACAGTTTTCAGACACAATTTTTTTTTCTATCATTGTAACACATTTGTTTAAACAACTTAATCGTAGCTGGGCGGGTGATGGAATTTTGGGTGTAAAAAGTACAAAAATAATAAAGCGCTGTAAAACTTAAAACAAAAATTGTTTTCTCCAATTTTCTGTTGTGTTGACGTACCCCTCAGACTTCTCTCGAGTACCCCTAAGAGTGACTCATACCTCTGGTTGAGAAACACTGATCTAGAGTAAGCCCTGTCTGAGGCAACCCAGGCGTGTTGCAGGCAGGGGTGTGGTGGCCCGGGTGCTTTGCAAGCGGGGGCTGGGCTGGGTTTCTGGAGTTGCCCCTGTCTGTGACAGGGTGCTCCCCTTGGGCTGTGGCAGGGGAGGGCACTCCAGCCTAACTGGGCTGGAGTGCCCCCCCCTTAATTGGTTAATCAGTTAAATTTCACATTTAATGGTTAACCAATTTAAACAGGATTTTACATCCCTATTTGTAGATGCAGTCTGTGACTCTGGTCCGTCACACACGCATGCATGCAAGTACATATGTACGTACATGTCAGGAGAGTATGTGGAAGGGAGGTGAAGCCTGTTGGGCCATGTCTACAAATAAAATTCTGTCTACCTAACTCATGGTGGCCTGCAGCCACCACAGTTATTAGATCATTCCAGAGTGTGTAGGTTTGGCTGATTGTGTTGGTGTTGTGTGTTCTTTTGTATCAATTTTATTGGCATTTTGTGGTACCTCCTGAAAGCACCCAGTACTTGATGTAAACAACTGATGCTGTGTTGACTTAATTACATTTACCTTGGTTGCTTGGGGAGGGGTGTTATTAAATTGATGTAAAGAGGCACTTACATCAGCCTCAGTCAAATTTAAGTGAAGACACTTCCACAGCTAGGTGGACTGAAGGCAGCATTTATCAACCCAGCTGTATAATATAGACTAGGTCTTAGCTCTTCCCTCCTACCTTACCTGTGAACACTTACCTGTGGCCAATACTGTACTTAAAATTGCTTTGTGAGCTTATGATATTTACTGTGCTACACATCAGAGGGTAGATTGAAGAGTCTTGTGACAATCAGCTGGGAGTGCATCAAACTCTCTAACTTTCTACACTCACCCAGTGTTCTGGTGCACAAAATAAACATAACTGTTATTGCCCTGCATGAATACAAATTTTTACTCACATATGCGGATTAGGGATGTGAATGACTAATTGACTAGTTGCTTTCTCCCTCTTGCTGCCTCTATCAAAAAGAGGCTGCAGGGGCACTTCAAAGGGGCAACACTGCGTGGAGCCCGGGACCAGATCCTGGGCTCCACGTGGTGCTGCCTCTTTGAAACTCGCATGCAGCCTGGGGCCAGCTATGGAGTCCCAAACTGTCCCGGGCTGCAGGCAGCATTTCAAAGTGGCAGTGCCACATGGAGCCTGGGGTCTGTGGCTTTGAAATGTAGTGTACAGCCCAGGGCCAACTGGGGAGTCCCAACCTGGGTGGGGCTGCATGCGGTATTTCAAAGCAGCATCACCACATGGAGCGAGGGGTCAGCTGGGCTCCCTGCAGTGTTTCAAAGCGGCAGTGCTGCATAAAGCCCGGGGTCAGCTGGGGACTCCCCTGCTGACCCCAGGCTCCATGTGGTGCTGCCGTTTTGAAATGCTATAGGAAGCACAGGGCCAGTGCAGGACTGTCCAGGGGCTGTTTCTACACTTCAAAGAGATAAGGAGACACCTCTAGGTGGATGGCATTTGAATCTCTCCTGAGTGGCCACACAAGTGTACAGCTTAAGCAGCTCTCTCTATTTGGCTGTACTGTTTCCTCTCCCTCCTCCCCACACACACACTTTGTCTTATAGCGTGGGTTTTACAGGCCTCAGTCAGGACAGACAGTTTTGTGGAAGGTCTGGGGATGGGTTTGGAGGCAGCACAGTTGCACAGGAGGAGCTGCTGGAAAAGGGTGCTTATGTTTGTTTAAAACTAATAATCTTCATCAGTGCTGAGTTTCTGGCTGTTCACTAAAGGCAAATCCTTATCTGATCTAAATTTTATGGAACTGTGCTAATTTATACCGTCCAAGAATTTAGCACTCCGTTTCTAAAGGCAAGTGGTCCATTTTAATATTTGCAATTAATTAGATGAATTCAACTTGAGACAACCTTGTGATTTGAAAAGTTGAAGGCAGTTGTAAACCAGAGAGTGTTACGATTTCTGATGATTCACTGATGAATGCTTGGGCATAAAATGGGCAATTTACGAGGCTCTGTGCAATGTGTACATCTTTATGTGCAATTCAGAATGCCTTTACATTTAGGTTTAACCTATAGAATGATGCATGGAGGATAACCTTTTTAATCCTGGAGACTTGGTGTCTGCCTACTCTGTGCAGAGGTAGGGAATGGTGTTTAGCCTAAAGGAAACTTATGTGGGAACAATGTTCCCGCTAATCTTTTCCATCCACGTGTGTGTGTTTTTCATCCACATATGGAATAAATTTGTGTATGTGCACTGAGGCATGTGCAAATCTGCAGCACCAGTAGAAAAAAACGTCTTAACCGTGGGCACTCGGCTAATCAGCAGAGTGGCATTTGAATCTCTCCTGAGTGGCCACACAAATGTACAGCTTACAAGAAACACTGCTGGGAGAGGCTTTTTTTTAAAGCTGGAGCAATTAAATAAATCTAACAACTAATTATTTAATAAAAATACAAAAGAATACTACTTCATCTCTCATGGGTTCTCAGAGCCCAGTCTCTTAGCCTGAGTCTGAACATCTGCACTGCAGTTTTGTAGCCGCATGATGTGAAATCTGTGAGCTGGAGTCAGCTGACAGAGGCCAGCCAGTGATATTTTATTTCAGTGTAAACATACCCTGTATGCCCTTTCTGGGATGTGAGGAACTCTGGGATGGCAAATGATGGTGGTGACCATAAGAATCTGATCTTGCATATATGAGGCATATGCATACCAGGAGTGGATTCCATGTGGGCAATCACTTGAAGAACTTTCTCTTTTACTAGGTACCTATGAAAGCTTGAGAATCACCCTTTATTTTGGTTATCATCCATCAGGCCATTAAGAACTAAGGAAGAGAACTTTAGCTCATCAGCCCTAATAAGTAATATTGGGGTTTCTACTGAGTTACAAGAGATCCCTCCTGCATCTGAATATGTTGCATGCCCATTACTGGAGGAGACTTGGATGCAGGATAGATAAAAATTAATACTTTTTTGATGGATTTTTAACATTTACATTTCATTTTAAGAAACCTATTTAAAATCAAATTTGAGATTGACAATCTGTGTTAAGACCTAAACTACTTATAATCTATTAAAATCATTTAAATTAAAATAATATTCAGATAGTATTTGCTAACAAAGTTTAAAGAAGCTTCAGGGGGTAGCTGAGTTAGTCTGTACAGGATAAACTTAAAAAACAACAGATGGTCTGGTAGCACTTTATAGACTAACAAAACATGTAGATGGTATCATGAGCTTTAGTGGGCACAGCCCACTTCTTCAGATGACCGGAGTTTTGAGTTTAGGGTGCGCAGACCCAAAATAAATAGGGGAGATGCGGGGGGGAGGGGAAGGAAAAAAAAAAGGAAGGGGGTGGGAAACAAGGAGCAGAGCGTATGGGAAAACCAAATAGGCAGAACTGGTAGTCTGTAAGCACCTAAAGAGTCAAACTGCCCAACTGTTGGAACTAGAGTTTGCTGAAATGCTAAAATACCTAGACTTCGGTACTCTCTTTTTCAGGTTTAGAGAGCAGAGCCTCCCAGCGGAGGGCTGGAATTTGGGAGCCATGCTGGGCAGCAGGGTCAGGAGCCCAGTGCATGGCAGCAGGGCTGGGAAGGCCCATAGGGCCATCAGCAGAGGGGGGAGGTCGGCCAGGAGGCCTGTGACCAGGCAGCAGAGGGGGAAAGTCGGCCAGGAGGGGCCTGTGGCAGGGGGGTCAGAAATTACCTACCCTAGTTTGGCAAAATCCCTGATCTGGGACCAGTCAGATCCTGAGGGTGCTGGCCCAGGGAGGTCCAACATGTAGGTGAATTATGTTCTTCATTATTCTCACTAGAGATCCTTGGCAATGTTGGCTTTCTGAAGGATATTAGAAGTTAGGAGGTGGCACTTTAGCTAAGAATGCATTTGTTACTTATTTCCGGGGCAGGAAATAGAATTGTAGTCAGAAATTTCATGTTGCTTTCATTTTAAGGGTATATATTTGTTAGCAACATCAAGGTTGCTAACGTTTCATTTGCCATTTTCTAGACCATATTAATATATGAGAGGCAGATTTTCATGCTTCAGTACTTTTCTTGCTTTCCTCCAGACTTCTTGTTGATTCGGTTGTCAATAGGACATCTTAATGAGACATATGGTAAGCCTTTTTAGAATTCAAGTTAAGTGTTTGGAAAATGTTTTCTGCATATGTATTATAATGTACTTTATTTTTTTCAGTAAATATTTAACTTTACTGAGGTATGG